TCGTGGATGAAAGAAAATTTATTGGTCATGAATTGAATCCCTGTTTATTGTGGTTTTGACAATTTATGGGTCATGGATTGAATCTCTACTTATTGTGGTTTTAACAGTTTTATGGGTCATGAATTGAATTGTGTTGTGTTGAGTGTATGTATGTTTTATGTTTCCTGTACATATGAAGGGATGTCCTGGAAAGAAACTCCTTGGCCGGACCAAAATTGTTTACATTCTTTTCATCTTTTTCTTTCCTCCTTTTTTTTTCCTCTGCTTGACAGGGGAAGGGGAAAGCTAGGCTTGCTTTGATACCCATCTTTAAAATAATAGTAATAATAATAAGATAAAAATGAGAACAATTCCATTGATCAAAGCTTTTTCACTTTAAATTATGGGCTCTCCACTATGCCAAAAGAAAATACATTTCTTCATAAAATCTCATTCTGCTATGAGGACCCGGCAATCCACTCACAAAGTTGAAACACTTAAATATATGCTTGGTGTGTGCGCAAGCAATTCGCTAATACACTGGTGGCAACATTTGTGCTCATTTCTTGTTGCCGGCTTCAAAGGAATGATTAGAATATCTCTCTAGATGATCTATAACTATTTATGCTTGGTAGTGCCCCATGACATGCTTAATGCATTATGACCTATATAGTTATTATGGCAGTGTGGAGGAAATTTCATGATTTATTAGAGACGAAATGGTTTTAAAATGAGAGGGAAGCAGCCTTGTTTCTCATGTGCAAATGGCTTGTAAAATATTAGATAAGAACATTGATCAATTAGTTGTTGAAACTTGGAACTAACGCTGTCCGCAAGGGGAAACTTTTTATATCAGAATTTTCCTGCCCAAGTGCAAGAACAATGTGTCTCACTCATAGTACTTTAGTAAATAAAAGGTGCTCCAACTTGTGAGTGGATGTTTGTGGAACACTATCTACGGTGCAACAAGCACTGAGCTATCAATTCTAGATACTCTTCAGTACACAAATTAATTAAAATCACATAGGAAGTTAGGGAAAAGAAAGGACACAACATGGAAAAGAAAATCGTAGGCTTCTGCATTCTTCCTTGTCACTAACCTACACGTAGAGAAAAAGATGCTCATCAAATCAATCAGGACAGTCCATCTCTACAATGAATAGCTTTTATGAAGTGGCTTTCCAGATTGGAAACCTGGAAATATGCCTTAAAATTTTAAAAATCAGAATCAACAACCCATTTCATTGCAGAAAAGAAGCCTTGTCCATAACACATCCTCCAACTCTACCCCAATAATCTGAGTCATTTTGACTATTCATTTCTTTGGATTACTCTCTTGAAATTAAGATGAAATATAACGTAGGTATAAGGATCTCAAAAGCTATGGAATGATGCATCGATGAGTCTATGAAATACAGACGATGTGCATTATCGTAAGGCAGTTATAGTGATTATAAATTCCTCAAATACAAGAGCTAAAAAATAAAATAGATAGATGAAAAAAAAAAAAGCAAAAAAAGGGAGAGAATCTACGAGCCACTGTGATAAGTATGAATTTTCGATGCTTTTGTGACTCTGCTGTTCTAAAGATGCTACATTACCTTCACCTCAACCCAATCATGCTATTTATTTGATCATGAGTCCGATGGGTTCTTTGTCTTGGTGAAATTTGATGTGTCTTTTGTCTTACTTGAAAATTTACTAGAATCAAATCCGCAAGGCTCTGCCTCAAGCAGCAACTGAACGACCTCATTCATGGTTGGTCGTTGGGTTGGATTATTGTATGTACAGCGTATCGCAATCCAGAGAACCTCAATCATCTCAGACCTGAATGACCCTGAGAGACGCCTGTCTAGCACTTCCATAATTCCTTCCCGAGTATCAACCTTTGTAGAAACCCAATATACAATGTTCTTGTTCTCTCCAAACTCTGCCTCAACTGGCTTCTTCCCAGTTATTAGTTCTAGTAAAACCACTCCAAAACTGTAGACATCACACCTGGTTGTGGCTTTATTTGAAAATGAATATTCTGTTGCAGCCATTAATCAAATTCAGTTAAAAAAATTCAGGGATACAAAACACTGAAAAATATAATTGGTAAGGATAAACAATATAAGATGGCAATGAACAATTTGTAATTGTTAACCACGCTTCATAAAGGTTCTTAATATGATATATACAATTAATTTACCATATTAGATTGCTTAAGTTTTGTTCTGCTTCAGATACCATTTCAGAATGCTAACTTAAACTTCTTAAACCCTCATGTGCTACTGCACATTGATCCTAATTAAAAATACATGTTATTAATCTATCATATTTTTTTCTTAAATTTAAATATCAACTTATTATAGATGAGTTGTATCAGGAAATTACCTGGAGCCATATAACCATAGGTGCCTGCAATAACAGTAGTGGTGGAATCTTTACCTCCTCTTGCTTGCAAAACTTTGGCTATGCCAAAGTCTGCAACCTTGGGCTGGTAATTGACATCCAGGAGGATATTGGTGGACTTGATGTCTCTGTGGATGATGGGTGGCAGCAGATCATGGTGTAGGTATGCCAAACCCTGTGCAACACCAAGTGCAATTTGATGTCGAGTTGGCCAGTCCAGGTGGATCCATCCGTTACGAAGAGCATCCCATAGATTTCCATTTGGCATGTACTCATAAACCAGCAGGCTGCAATCGAAACTTGAGAAGTAGCTATACAATTTCACTATGTTTTTATGTCTTATGTTTCCAAGAGTTTCAACCTCAGTCTTCAACCCTTTATCCCAAACCAGCCCATCCTCCGGGGTAGAATCTTTTGCTTTCACAGTCCACAGCTTCTTCACTGCAACAACCTCCCCGCTTTTCAGTTCAATTTTATAAACTGTGCCACATCCTCCATGACCAACAATGTTTTTATCAACCATGGCTTCAAGGATTTCATGCTGATCAAAACTTATTCGATGGAAGCTCTTTACCTTATATGAAAAGAAAGATGAAGACAAGGTCTGATCATGCTCTTTCACAGCTCTTTCTTTACTGCATCGGTGTTTTGAAAACAGGAGCAATCCAACAACAGTGATAATAGCTGTAAGCCCAACCGCCCAGATGTAACTTAGCCTTTTCTGCTTCTTGTTGGTCTGTGAACATATGGGAAAATTTTGAACGTAGACTGGAACACAGAGACCTGGGTTTCCTGAAAAGCTCTCTACTAACCCTCCTTTGATCAGTGACAGAGGAATTGGACCAGAAAGCTCATTGTTTGAAAAGTTTATGGAGTTTGGTAATAATTCACATAGACTCTCTGGGATATTCCCAGTCAGGAGGTTATCGGAGAGATCAAGAACGTTCAAAGACTTGAGCATGGAAAGTGAGTTGGGAATGTAAGAATTGAGCTTGTTGCCTTGCAGCACCAGTAAATTTAGCTTCATCAGATTGCCAATTTCTGAAGGTATTGGACCAGACAAGAGGTTGTTACTAAGATCAAGCTTCACAAGATTGATAGCTTGGGAAAGTTCACGCGGCAGAGCACCTGTAATCTTGTTGTTCTGTATGAGCAATTCAGACAAGTTCCTCGCGTTAACAATTGAATTTGGCAATGGACCGGTCAGATTATTGTAACTCAAGTCAATGATGGAAGCATGAGGGAGACCTAGAAGCCCTTTGGGTATTGACCCATCCAGACGGTTCTTACTAACTCGAAACCGTAAAATATTCTTGCAGTTTGCATAGTTGTCAGGTATGTGGCCAGAAAACATGTTTTCAAGAACAAGAAAGTACTGCAGTTTACCTCCTCGACAGATCTCTGGTGGCAGTGGACCTGATAGATTGTTCTCTGACACGTCTAGAGCAACTAGAGGTGATGATAGCCCCAGATTCTGTGGAACTTGCCCTGTAAAGAAATTGTGATAAAGTGAGAGGATGGTCAGGGTTGTGGATTCTGCAATTGCAGTTGGGATTTCTCCTGTGAGACTGCTGTTGTAAAGCTGCAGGACTCGAAGTTTTGGAAGCCTACATACAGACTCTGGAATGCTTCCTTGGAGAATATTGACTGACATGTCCAGGTCTATAAGCTCGGTCAGGTTTCCCAGTTCCTCGGGTATGCTTCCAGTTAAGTAATTATAGTATAGTTCAAGCTGCTGCAAGTTCTTCAGCTTTCCAAGCTCTACAGGAATCCGACCTGTGAAAAAATTGCCAGACAATTCGAGGTCAACAAGCGATGTCATGTTTCCAATTGATGGTGGGATCTGACCATACAACTTGCATGTTGTGAAGACCATAACTTTGAGCTTTGTCAGTCTGGAAATGTTCTCCGGTAGTTTCCATGGGTTCAATTCTTCATTCTCGTTGACATAAAGCACCTCAAGATTGGTAAGGTTAGTTATTGTCAAGGGGAAGTCACCTGTAAAGTGATTGTATGAGATGTCAAGTATGCGCAGAGATTTCATTTTGGAGAAATCTGGAAGCTTTGCTCTTAATTGAACTGAACTCATGTTGAGTATTTCCAAGAGAGAGCAGTTGGCGATGCTGTTGATGAAATTGCCACGAAGTCGATCATTTCGGCTGAGATCAAGAACACGTAACTCTGGCAGATATGAGCATGTATCAGCTGGAAAATTGCCAGATATTGACCACCCAGACATATTAAGCTTTTCGACATACCCTCTATCATTGCAGCTAATTCCTGTGAAATTGCAATAACACTTCCTTCCCATAATATCCCAATCAGACAGAGCATTTCCTGACAAAGAAGATTTCATGAGTGTGAAGAACTGAGATTGGTTGGTTCCAATGACTTGGGAAGGATAAGACCCCAATATTAGCAACACTAAGAGGAAGGCAAAAATCTTGAGTTCCATCTGATAGATAGGGAGAGAACAAGAAAGTGGACGGATGTTTTAAAAGAAAGAGGCAGTTATGGCGGTTGTTGCAGGGAAGAAGGAAAATAAGAGGAGAAGTATATAAATTTGATGATTGAGCGGGTCATTGTGTGCCCAGCAGTATTAAGTCTTGACGATGAAAAAACGGGTCTAGGAACAGTAGGGAGAGAAAGATGGAAAGAGCTGTGCATATCTTTGCATAAAGAAGCTTTATGCTTACAGTTATACCCCACTATCTCATGTCGAGAATAGCATCAGTGTAAGTACTTTATACAAATTTGATGTTAGAGTAATCTGTGTCCTGGTCCTGATCACCGTACGTTCTCTCTTGACCTTATGATCAGGACCGCTAGATGTGATCAGTCTGCTTGCATTCTCATGGATGGCTACAGCCCAATGTTCAATGCTGGTATGTTACTTGCAGTGTTGCACTAGTACCAAGATACTCATTTCTATTTGTGCATGTCCACGTGTACGATGTTTCTCATTTATTTTCATAATCAAACACATTTCAGGAAAGATTCTTTTATTACCGATGCTGTTTGCGGAGCTTTAACATACACATTCAAATCACTTTGGTTGTGGGGCCAAATGCTGTTTTCTCTTGTCCTTTCTCTTCACATTCTGTATGACTGAGCTCAAATGATCTCTACTCTACATATATCTATCCCTACTTCTTTTGGTCCCCGGTTTCCTCTGATGTGGGTTAAACTGTAAAAGCAAGACCTCCAACATGGTATAATTTTATATCTTCCTAGGCAATCTAAACCGTCTTTACTTCGGTTGAAACAAACTTACACCAACTAGACCATACTATCTTTACATGATAAAACAACAACACAAACCATTTAGTGTGGAATAATGTTTTGGTTGACCTCTGTTTTCAATTGGATATTTCGACATGAACACGTGTGGATTTCATTTTTACTTTCCATGTTCCTGTGTTTTTCCTTCTTCCTGGTCCATGATATGGAGGATTGGAAAATTCCTTCCGTGATAGAGATAATGTTGGAGAAATAGGGGCTAGAAAATAGATTATTAAATCATTGGCTTCAAGGCGTGTTGCAAATGCCACTTTTCTTTAGATTAATTTGGCTCCCACCAGATCTAGTATGCAAAAGGGTTAATCCGAAATGCCCATATGATACAATGAAGCGCCTTGTTGATCTAGCCTTTGCACTAGCAAGATCAACCACTAAGCCATCCTTTGGAAAGCAACAAAACAATAGTTTTTGTATAGGAATTTCTCGAGTAATCACAATACAAAAAGTGACTGTTTTATTTAGATATTTCTGGATTTCAAGACTCTTTTAAAGAAAAAGAGATAACTCCATATTTATAGGGATAAGATGTCTGTTGGGAACAGACACTTATTTTCAATCTTATCTGTTGGAAACTCTTCCAAAAATCATTTAGTTTGATTTGAATTACAACTCACGTATTTCCTTGTCTTCCAAAGTTATCCACTCTCTTTAGAAACTTATAAGAATTCTATCTTTGATTTCTAACGTAAATGGTTCGAACCATATTTAACCAAAATTGTAACTTTTCGAATTCTGGTTTTACATAAATGGTTTAAATCATAATTATATGATTCGATTCAAAGTTACACTTTCTCAAATGCATTTTGTGCAATTGCTTCGAACCAATTTTTTGTGGTTCAAACCCAAATCCTGGAACTATTTTGAAAATTCTTCAACATTCCCCCACCATTTTCAAAATAGAACAACCCACCAATTGTTTTGGAAATCTTATGCATACATGAAGGTATCTTACGATTTGAACCTTTTACTTAGTGAACATGTGTTGGCAAATTAGTCAAAATTGCATGATAGACTAATGCTTTGAACTAGTGATTCTAAGTGACTAATTGGGCACATGTCACACACAAAACTTCAAGCTTTCCAAAGAAAAAATTCAGCATCCACCGACACAAAAACTGACCATGTGTCTTGTATCCTTTTCATGAGTGTTGTTAAAGTCAAGTTCCCAACTCCTAGAAGCGGCACCACTTCCACTCAAATAGGTATATCTTATCAAAAGTGCCACTGCATTAAACACTTTAACAGACATTTGTTATAGGACCTATTAAGGGTAAAACTCAACCTCCTTTTATTTCATGCGGTTACCAAGTACTCTTCCACTTGGGATGGTATTATTAATAAATTGAGTACTTGCAGTCACATTCATATGATGTACTTTACTCATTGAACTTAAGACTTGAAGTTTTTATCAAGCGTTAAGTCGAGGTTCCATCATGTGTGACTTTTGTTAATATGGACTTGAGACCTATCGCTCTCTTTGTCTTGTAAATTTTCCTTTTGATAATCCTTTTAATCAAGGATTCATGAAGTTAATTCACACAAGACCCTGCAAAGATTATGGTGATCACCTCATTTAAGAATTGATTATTTCCATGTCTACATTTTATGACAATAAGTCTACTGTCATATAGACTTCTTTGTAAGTGCTTGATGACATCGTATTATTTTCAGTCATCATACACATTCATATAAGAATGCCTTTGAATAATATGAACTCTTGAAAAGTGTAGACATCTCTAAGAACAAGTGCTATCACTTTTAAATAATGCCATATAACTTTGTAATACCATGAACAAGTAGAATTCTTGCTTCCTCTACTTTCAAATTTAATTTTTATTTGCTTTTCATGTGTCAAGGACTTTTAGTCCATATTCCTCACTCTTGGGATTGTTCCCACCATTTTAAATGACATCAATATTCCTCATGAGAGACATTCAGGATAAATTCTAATTTATCAAAAATGGTTCAATTCATATAAATATGTTCAAACCAAGTTCTTGATACTTTCTTAGTTTTCTACATAATTGGTTCGAAACAGCTTTAAGTGATTTGAACCAAAATTCTGGAACAACTCAAATCATTAGATTTATTTTCCATGACTATGAGCTATTCACTCTTATTGTTTATAGGATTCTTTAAATCCACATTTCTTTATCTTTTGGACCATTTTTCCAGGCTTCCAAAAATCAATGAAGTGCACAAGGTTGCACTAGTTTCGACAAATTATCTCATTAAGAGATAACATCTAACCAAGGAATCAAAATCCTTTATTACTTATCAAAACTAAGAGCCTTTTCACTTGATCTCTCTTCTCTTTGTTTATATTCAAAATAAGATCATCAATTGGATCTCCAAATGGGCTTGCCAAATCCCATTTCAATATTTCTTTCTTCAACATTACTAAATAACCATCATGAGACTTGATTCTCACATGTTTCAATCTTCATATACTAATATATAAACTTACAAGTATAAATAAGAGGCATCAAAAGTAATAGGTAGACATATGCTTTAAGCAACCTTTCATTAATGAAACATGATCAGATTCATTAACCTCTTATATTTCGACAAGCCTCATGTCACAACAAACAAAATAACAAACAAGAAGCACGTATTTGTATCATACATACAGAGCACAAATGATTTTAATTAAATTGTTATGTGCATAAACATGCTTTCTTTCAATCCATGTCTTTAACACTTAATCCATGTAGTATAAATATCATTTACTACCCTAAAGCATCAAGCCTTTAATAAACATGAATAAGACATCACTAATTAAAGTCATCAGTATACTGGTATATGTCTTACAGAAATTTCACCATGGATTGAAACTGAATTAAGTAATCTCAGCCTCAATCCCAAAGTTGGTATTAACAGAATGAGGCATTCAAATATCCAGAGAATTAATAGTCACTTCTTGGAAACATGCAATTTTCACACAATTAATCATGCGTACCTGATCTTAATCGATTCATTTTATGAAAATTGGCTTCCTTTGCTTTATCGTGAAATGTCTAGCAACCCATTGACTCATCTATGATTGACAACACCATTCTGATGGTCGATGAGTCACCATTTTTGCACATGATTTAAAGCACTAGAAATCCATTTTGTTTTGCCACTGTTGCACGCCATATCTCCTTGGCTTGACATGCGTTTTAACGCAAATTTCTTCTCAATTATTTAGTAAACCATGATCTTAAAAAACTCAAAAAAAAATTAGCCTAAAGATTGTTAGAGAAATAGGGGGTTGTTAGGCTAATTTCGCCCCCATCAAATCTGTTATGCAAAAGGGGTAACTTGAAATACCCATAGGATACAATAAAGCGCCTTGTTGATCTAGCCTTTGCACTAGCAAGATCAACCACTGAACCATCCTTCAGAAAGCGACAAAACAATAGTTTTTGTATAGGGATTTCTCGAGCAATTGCAATACAAAAAGGGACTATTTTATTTAGATATTTTTGGATTTAAAGACTTTTTTAAGAAAAAAAGATAACTCCATATTTATAAGGGCAATATGTCTATTGGGAACAGACACTCATTTTCAATTTTATTTGTTAGAAACTTTTCCAAAAGTCATTTGGTTTGATTTGAATTCCAACTCACATGTTTCCTTGCTTTCCAAAGTTATCCACTCTCTTCATAAACTTATCAGAATTCCATTTCTGATTTCTGACGTAAATGGTTCGAACCACATTTATATGATTTGAACCAAAATCGTAACTTTCCGGATTCTAGTTTTACATTCAAATCATAATTATATAATTCGATCGAAAGTTACACTTTTTCAAATGCATTTTGTGTAATTGTTCCAAACCAACTTTTTGTTATTCGAACCCAAATCCTGAAACTATTTTGAAAATTCTTCAATAGATAGATGAGTTACAGATAGATGAGTTGGGAATAATATATTCTATTATATAATTGTGTTAGGGGAATTTGCATTGAAGAGCAGGGGACCATATTGGATTTGAGTTGTTTAAATGAGTTAAAGGTGCAAAAGTGGGTAGAGTAATGTGCTTTGTGATACACGGGACCACCATTTTCTGATACTGGTAGACTAGCGTGATCTCAACCTGATTAAGTTGAAAAGGTCCAAAAAAACATTTTTCTCTCTTTAGTAAATCCTCCATTTGCATTACATTTTCATGAAAAATGTGATGAAGCTAAATGCTAGAAAAAATGAAATGAGAACGACAGGAAGATCTTCCTCGTTTCTCCTA